GTCCCATCCTCTCATCCTCTGCCTCTCCTCCCTTGTCTCCAGGAGCATGCCCAAATTCACGTTCGTTGAGTTGATGACACCGTCCCATCCTCTCATCCTCTGCCTCTCCTCCCTTGTCTCCAGGAGCATGCCCAAATTCACATTTGTTGAGTTGATGACACCATCCCATCCTCTCATCCTCTGCCTCTCCTCCCTTGTCTCCAGGAATGTGCCCAAATTCATGTTTGTTGAGTTGGTGACATCATTTCATCCTCTGCCTCTCCTTCCTTGTCTCCAGATGTTTGCCCAAATTCACGTTTGTTGACTTGATGACACCATCCCATCCTCTCATCCTCTGCCTATCCTCCCTTGTCTCCAGGAGTTTGCCCAAATTCACGTTTGTTGAGTTGATGACACCATCTCACCATCTCATCCTCTGCTGTCCCCTTCCTGTTTCGCCTTCCATCTTTCCCGACGTCAGGGGTCTTCCCCAAGGAGTCCTCCCCTCTTCTCATTCGGTGGCCAAAGGATCTGAGCTTCAGCTCCACTATCTGCCCTTCCAAAGGACTTCCAGGCTTGGTTTCCTTCCATCTCCTGGCAGTCCGAGGGACTCTCAAGGGTCTTCTCAATTCGAAAACCAACGTGAATTTTTGGCTGCCTGTTAATATCTGCTTGAACTTTAATTGAAATTGTTCACTTTGTTATGTGTCGGGGCAGGGGGGCTATTGTGGGCTGCCAAAGTCACCATGTTTGTGTTGGGCAGCCATATAAATTCTACAAATAAACAGAATAGAATAGAATAATAAGAATGGAATGGAATGGAATGGAATAGAATAGAATAGAAAATATGGAATAGAATAGAATAGAATAGAATAGAATAGAATAGAATAGAATAGAATAGAATAGAATAGAAAATATGGAATGGAATAGAATAGAAAATATGGAATAGAATAGAATAGAATAGAATAGAATAGAATAGAATAGAATAGAATAGAATACCTCCAAGGTCCTTTCCAACTTTTATTATTATGGATCATCGCACAGTCAGCCAGATGTTCAGACTGGATTTGGCATTTTGTCTACCTATGGAGTCCTTACCCAGGACCTGGGATAGGCAGATGTGGATGTTGGATGGTATTACAGATCTCGTCGCAGGATGGAAGCAGTTCCTAGTAAGGCCGCCTTTTGCAATTGACTAATGGCGAATGTGTCAATGCCGATGATGGTGTCCAAGTGGTGCTCCAGTTGGTTTGGGATGGCACCCAAGGTGCCTATGACTATTGGTACTACCCTTGCTTGCCTTTGCCACAGTCTTTCTATTTCTATTTGTAGGTCTTTGTGTTTTGTGATCTTCTCCAGTTCTTTCTCGTCTATTCTGCTGTCTCCAGGCACTGCCACGTCCACTATCCAGACTTTTTTGTCTTTCTTATCGACAATTGTTAAGTCCGGGGTGTTATGTTGCAGGTGCTTGTCTGTTTGAATTCTGAAGTCCCAGAGCAGTTTAACTTTATCATTTTCTATGACTTTCTCTATTTTATGA